AAATAAAACCTCACATCCCACTAGACACTATAAAGCACAAGGATCAACAGCATTATGAGCATTGGAGTCAGGCTGTCTCACGTGCTATGTTATTTGAGGAAAGTGTTCAATCTACAGGTGCCCACCACTATGCTTAGCTAATTTTTTTATTTTTTGTACAGATGAGGTCTCACGATGTTGCTCAGGCTGGTCTCAAACTCCTGGCTTCAACAAATCCTCCTGCCTTGGCCTCTCAAAGTGCTAGGATTACAGGCATGGGCCACTGCACCCAGCCTCAACTTATTATTATTATGTTTTGTAATAATTACAGATTTGTAAGAATTAGCAAAGATAGTACAGAGATCTCTTACATACTTGTCACCCAGTTTGCTCAATTGTTCAACATAATTTAGAAAACTCAAGTCTGTTGCATTTATTCACCTGTATTTTTTGTTCTTTTTGTTGTTCTTCATTTCTGATGTTAGGAGAATACTAACATCCATGTTCTATGCATTCTTTTTTAGAGGATTTCTTTCAGCCATTCTTTTAGAGTAGGTCTACATCTCCACTTTATCCTCTCTTCCCCACAACTCTTTCCAACCTCTACTTTCTGTCTCCATGAAATCAATTATTGTTACTATTTAGTTCCCACATATAAGTAAGAACACATAAAATTTGCCTTTTTTTTTGAGACAGAGTCTCACTTTGTAATCCTCAGTAGAGTGCTGTGACATCATAGCTCACAGCAACCTCAAACTCTTGAGCTCAAGCAATTTTCTCTTGCCTCAGCCTCCTGAGTAGCATCTGCCACAACACCCAGCTATTTTTTAGAGATGAGGTCTTGCTCTTGCTCCAGCTGATCTTGAACCTGTGAGCTCAGGCAATCTACCTGCCTCAGCATCCCAGAGTGCTAGGATTACAGGTGTGAGCCACTGTACTTGGCAGGATTTCATTCTTTTTTATGGCTGTTGTGTATATAGATCACAATTTATTTATCTATTCACCCATTGATGGACACTTAGTTTGGCTATTGTGAATAGTGCTGACATAAACTTGGGAGTGCAGATATCTTTTTGATATATTGTTTTCCTTTTCTTTGGATATATACCCAGCAGTGAGATTTCTGGCTCAAATGGTAGTTCTATTTTCAGTTTAATGAGGAACCTCCATAGTGTTCTCCATAGTGTTTGCACTAATTTATATTCCTACCTACTTTCTCCAATATTCTCCACCCTTTGTTAGTGCCTGTTTATTTTTTCTTTTCTTTCTTTCTTTCTTTCTTTTTTTTTTTTTTTTTTTTTTT